CTTGGAACCCCATGGGGCCCCCTTTGCCCCCTGGTGGGGCCAACCCGGACCCAGGGGGGGGTTTTTAGCTGTGAGGCCTTCCGCAGGGGTTTGGCCATTCCAGGGGGTTTGGCATAAAGGGTGCCGTCCGGCCGGCCCTGGTCCCCAATTTTTTGGAAAAAAGCGGGTTCCGCCCCGTTTCGTTTTTTGATTGCCCCCCCCCCCAAGTTGCATTGGAGATGGGGAGATTGGAGCCCCCCCCCCCCCCCCCCCGCTGCGGTCCACACCCTCCCCCCCTCCGAATTGCGCTCGTGCCGTGTCACGTCCATGCCCCCGGATGCCCCCACCTTCCGTATCCTGTGTAGGTCACCGCGCGCCCCGACGAGGTGCAAGCCCTCCTCTACCAGCTCTTTGCGCGCCAGCGCCGCCTCTCTTCGCAGCGCGCCCTGGACAACTGGGAGCTCCTCGGCCTCCGCGCGCGGATGCGCCCGAGGCAGGAGGTGCTTCGCGCGGCGTGCGCGTCGCTCGAGGCGCGACGGACCGCGCTCTCCGCCAGCGGTGCGTCGGAGGGCGAGGGAGGCGCCGCCCACTTGGCGGCGCAGCGCGAGTGCCGCAGGCTGGAGGCGCGGCTTGGGCGGGCGGCGCTCCTCGCCGCGCGCCACCAGCGGCGGCTGGGCTACGTGGCGGAGGTGCACCGGCTGAGGTCGGGCGTGCTCGAGTCGCTCCTCTCGCGCCACCTCTCCGCGATCCTGAGCGCCCTCCTCCGCCTCACGGACGAGGCCAACGTCGCGCCCAACGCCACGCCGCGCCTTGCGGCCGCCGCCCCGCCGCCCCGAGCCCGCGAACAGGCTGCTGCCGGCCAGGGGACCCTCCCGGCTCTACCGGCAGCGTCTGCCGCCTCTTGCCCGCCGCCCGAGTGCGACATCAGCGCGGTCGCATTGCCGCTCTATGGCGTGCCGGCCCACCGCGCCGCGGCGAGGCCCGTGCCGCCAGGACAGGCACGACCGTCCTCCGCGCCGAGGCACCCGCAACCGCACCGCCCGCGGGCAAAGCCGCTGGTGCACGCCGAGGCGCTCGAGCTGGGCGAGCCCGAGCTGTCGCCCCGGACCCTGAGGCAGAGAGCGCCACCCCACGGCATCTGATCCTCGTCGTGACGACAGTTGTGCTTTTTGAGGCTCTTATTGCACATCTCACTCTCACACAAAATATACAGCCGTGAACCGTCACACACACACACACACACACACACACACACACACACACACACACACACACACACACACACACACACACACACACACACACACACACACACACACACACACACACACACACACACACACACCGCTCACCCACGCGCACTGGGCCTTGCACTTTGAATGCCGTGGGGCTCCTGTCGTCAGACGTGGAGACGCGAGGGTTGCCCCCCCTTGCCCCACCACCTCGTGTGTGTGGAGAAGTTTACCTTACCTTACCTTACCTTACCGTCTCGACACCCGAGCCGCGAGCGGCCCGGGCGAGCACGACGGAGAACTCGCAATCCGCATGTGACAAGGTATATACGAAGGTGGTACACAGACACGCGACACACACACGGGGATCGGAAAACACCCGGCGGCCGCGACCATGTCTCTGGCACAGGGGAGCAGACTCACTCTCCTAGTACGACGCAGGCGGCGGCGTGGGCCTAGGCGTGGCAGGGCGCGGGCCCGTAAACCTGCGGCACGTACTGCGAGACCTTCCGTAGCGTGGGAATAGAGTTCGGGGCGTCCTCGTTCTGGTATGCCCCCTTGTAGAGCATCCAGAGCAGGAACTTCTGCTGGTGGTTTGCGATCCGGAAAGTCACAGGGAAGCAATTGCCGATCAAGGGCAGCCGGCTCGCCCCCTTGGTCTTGTACGTGCGCTCATCCGAGATGTCGAGCACGAACTTTTTGTCTTCGTACACCAGCGTGTCCTTGTGGCACCCCCGGCACAGCCGCCCGCCTCCTTTGGGCCAGCAGCCGAACACGTCCCGCGAGGGAGGGCCGCTAAACGCCCCGGCTTGGAAGCCTCTCATGATCAGCGCCCGGGAGATGTAGCCGTTGCCGAGGTTGCCGTTGCAGGGCCAGCAGCCGACGAGCCGGTACTTGTCCTTCCAGGTATAGGCAGGCGGGCCGAAGCAACAGCTGAAAGGGTTGAAAATGTTGAGGATGGGAATGGGGCAGCACCAGCCCGCGGGAAAGAGAAGCGGGGCGGCCGTCAGGGGCGAGTCATCCTCGACCCACCTGCGGAGCAAAACCTCTCTCTGGTCAGTAGTAGGAGGAGGGGGCGGCTCGCATGCTGCATGCATGTGACATGCAGAGAGCTCTCACCGTTGCGCTGTGATTTTGCCGGCCTCGGCGGGGAACATGAGGGTTGGCTCAGCGTTCTCGCCCTTGGCGCCATCGGGCCTCCCGACGATGAGGTTGTCAACGACATTCTTCGCCCCCTCCGGGGTGAAGGCGAGGATGGACTCGAAGGTGATGACGCGCACCTTGGCCTTGTACTTGGTGGCGATCTGGACCGCCGCGAGCTGCGCGTGAGCGCCGCCGAGGCTGTGCCCCACAATTGTGATCTGCTTGCCGGGCACGATGTGGCCGTTCGCGTCTTTGAAGCCGGCCTTGGTCTCCAGCGCCTGCAGTGAAGCGCAGGTATCACCGCAGGGAAGGCAGAGCTGATAGCAGAGGCTGCCGCAACACGCGTGCCGTGGTCACACCCATCATTTGGTTGGCCTCGGGGGTGCATTTGTCGTCGGTGCCGTCAAACATCGTCTTTTGCGCCTGGAGCGAGGCGAGGGCTTCCGCTCAGTACGGGCTGAGAGAGAGTGGCAACTGCAGTCGTGAGGGCTCGGCACTCGCCTCAATCATATTCTGGTATCCCTCATATTCTGGTAGCGAGGGAAGAGGCCCGGGCTGCCAGTCTTTGTCCTGCAGGACAAGGCCGACCGCTTGCGGGTCGACCTCGGTGCCGGAGAAGGACAGGATGAAGGACCCAGCAGGGGCGAAGAGCGTGCCGTCCTTTTCAAGGCAGCTGTTCGGGTTTGGGATCGAGAAATCTTCCTTGACCTCGACGAGGAAGTAGCGGCCGACCACCTGGTGGCGAGGATCATACTTCCCGCTGGGGGGCGTGTTCTCCGAGTCGTTGAAAAACGAGCCCATCGCCAAGTACTTGCCAGCCGCCCCGAGCCGGGGGGGTCCACCGCCGTTCATGGTGTTCGCGTACTTGACGGGCGAGTCAGCGAAATTGATGCCGTTGTACTCGTAGTTCTCGTGCCACGCTGGTATTTCGTCGATGGTCGGGTGGTTTTTGGATATGCCGCTGTCTGGGACGTTGTACGCGAGCGTCGCCTGGCTCATCCAGAACGGCCCCTGCTCACGCATCGCCTCCTTGGCCTCGTCGTCATCGCACGGCGAGGCCTTCTTGCACTCCGCCCTCTTGGCGGCCATGTACGCGGCCGTGGGCTTCGGGATCGCAGGCTTCTTCATCATTGAGGACCAACAGCGAGGAGGCAATCGAGGCGTCGTGGCGTGCCAAGTAACTCGACCATGGTCTTTTTCTTTTTGTGTATCGCATCTTATGCCCTCGCGCGCGCAATATTTCTTTTTCCCTTGGTGGCGTGCTACGAGCTGCTGGTGCCTCATCGCACTCGCGAGAACGGTCTCAGACATGGCCCCAGGCAGCAAGCCCGCCCCTCAGCTCTGGCGCGCGAACCGCTTCAACCGCCTACGCGGCGGCGTCAGCCAGTACGATCTGCCGCCGCTCACCTCGCTGCCGCCGCCACCGGCCGCGCTGGACGGCGGCAGCGCCGTCGCCGCAGCCGTGCCTGTAGCCGTCGCCGCGGCGGCCATCCTTCTGGCCCTGGCGCGGCGCCGCGGCGCCTCCGGATCTGGAGCGGGCTCGCCGCGAGCGCCGCCGGCCGCCTCCTCGCTCGCGGCCGCGGCCGCGACCGGCATCGGCGCTGCTGCGCTCGTGTGGGCCGCCTCGGCGCTGCTGGGAGGGCCGGACGGCGTCGCCGGCGCGAGCTGCGCGGCGGCGTGCGCCGTCCTCGGGCTGCTGCTCGGATTGCTCGCGGACCACGCCGCAACCAGCAGCATCGCCGACGCAGCCGGCACTCACAGTTGCTAGAAGCGGAGGAGAGATCTTTGTCTTGCAAGTGCACTCGGGAGGACACGAACTCAAGCGTGTTCTGCTGTGCCCCGTGTACTCGCACCCCTCGTATGCTCGCCACACTCTGCCAGATCGGCGTCGCTTTACTTCGGTGTCTTCCCAACCCAAGGCTCTCTGCTACTCTCGGTCCTCATCCCCGCCCTCGTGGTCCTGCTCCCGCCGTCCGCCGGCGGCGGCACGGCCGGCGGCGGCAGTGCCGCCGCCGCACGCGCCGGCGCCTCCTCGGTGGGTGCGGGCGGCGCGGCGCCGGGCCGCGCCAGACAGCAGCCTCGCTCGCCGCTTGCGCCGGCGCGGGCGGTGCCTGAGCCGCAAGCCGCTGCCGCGCAGATGGCTTCGCGCGTGGGTGCCGTTTCCTAGACACTTCCTAGACACTTGCTAGACACTTCCTCTAGATGGCTTCGCGTGTGGGTACCGATGCAGCCGAGAGGTCGAGCCGAGAGGGAGGGGAGCCGTGGCCGAGGGGCGGCCGAGGGGTGGTCGAGGTGTAGCCGAGGGGCAACCGAGAGGCAGCCGAGGTGTAGCCGAGAGGCAGCCGAGGTGTAGCCGAGGGGTGGCCGAGGGGTGGCCGAGGGGTGGCCGAGGGGCAGCCGAGGGGCAGCCGAGAAGCAAGCCCCTCCTTCGCGCAAGGCGGACACACCACAGCAGCACGACTCGTTCCTCCAGTCACGTTCTCCAGTCAGGTTGAGTCGCTCAACTGCACGGGGCCTGGATTCGGTTCTTTGGTGGTAGGGGCCGCCGCGGCCGCCGCCGCCGCGCTGCCGGCGGGTGCGGCGGTGGCACAAGGCATCGGCCGCATCCTCACGCACGTGGCATCCCGACCCGCCCCACCGCCCTCCTCCTCCTCCTCCTCCTCCTCCTCCTCCGGCGGCGGCGGCGGCGGCGGCGACGAGGCGGCGGCTGGCGCTGCCGCCGGCGCCGCTCTCCTCCCTCTGGTCGCCAGAGACATAGATCGCTCTGCCCCCTCTGGTCGTCCTTGACACGTAGATCGGTACTGAGCCTGGCGAGGTCCTCCCACGCCTCTCGGGGGTGTATCCGGCCGAGTCCGCACCCCCCCCCACCCCCCACCCACCCACCCTGATCAAGGACTGGAGTGGCGGATCAGGTGGCCGCCGTGTCGTGCGCCACCTCGCCGGCGGAGGCGGCTCTGGTTGTGTCGATCGGCGCCGCGGCGCAGCTGGCGCGCGCCGTCCAGGTGGTCAATCTCTCCGCGCATGTCGCCGCATCTGGGCACATCTGGGCACATGTCCGCACATCTGCCCGCATCTCGGGGCGTCTCCGCGCATCTCCCGACACCTCCCCACACCTCGCGACAGCTCCCCACACCTCGCCCACACGTCCCCCACACCTCCCCCACACCTCTGCGCACCTGCCGACACCTCCCCACGCCTCCCCACACCTCCCCGACACCTCCCCACATCTACCCACACCTCGCCCACACCTCCCCACACCTCCCCACACCTCCCCACACCTCCCCACACCTGCCCACACCTCCCCCACACCTCCCCACATCTCCCCACATCTCCCCACATCTCCCCACATCTCCCCACATCTCCCCACGTCTGCCCGCATCTCCCCGCATCTCCCCGCATCTCCGGGCATGCTCCCCGCACCTCCCCACAGGGGGG